GCCCCGTTTCCTCTCTGTGTTGCTATTGCTGCCTCGGGGGTGGGATGGCGCCAGCCACCCAGCTCCGGCGCCACAGGGCTTTCAGGGCAGGCATAGACACACAGGGGACTGCAGGGATGGTTTCAAAACGAGGGCAGGGACCTGATTATTGTCCTACTTTGTGTCAAACCTCCCCGGGTTTTTATAGCAGCCTTTTGATGACCTCCTCAATGACAAGTTGCTAATTGTGACGGCCTCGGAGATGCCGGGATGGGCTAATGCTGGGTTATGGGGTGAGGACACCCCAAAGCTCTGCAGGAGCCAGCGGAGACCTCGTGAGCTTCAGCAGGGAGAAGTGCTGCATTGCCCTTGGGTGCTGCAGCAGTGGAGGAGGATTTCTGGTTCCTAATAGCATGAGGCATTCACCAGCATCCTGTAGAGCAGCGAGCTCCAAATTGGTTTTATTACATTCCCCCAGTATATTTCTGGATGTATAAATGACCTGCACATACTAATGGGTATGTTGTAAAGTACAAACTAAACCAGAAATTAAAACAGGATGGGGTAAAGAGGAAAAAAAGCACCAGTTTAAAATGGGGCTTTTATGTTTATTGATACTAAAAAGTATTTTCTTCCCGCACCTCAATGGACTATCTCCTGCACCCGGCTTTGGGGACCACTGAGGAGAAGGGAGCCAGACCGTCCCCACACCCTCTGGCACCCACGGGCCCCTTCCCCATGTCCCCCCTTCCCTCCCCTCCGGATGCTGCCCCACACAAAGCAGCTTTGTCTGCCTCTTCCTCTTCGTCTCCTCTTGTCTGGCTGCTCTCCCTCCCTGGCGCCTGTCCTGTCTCCCTGTGCAGCACAAGGACTTTCTTCCTCTATCTCAGGGCAGGGAGTTCAAGCCCCTCGTTGCCCCATTGAGGCTCCTGGGGACTCCCTTGGTCCAGAGGTGATGGGCAGGGTCCCCACCTCTTGTCCTGGCATTCATCCATATCCTGGGGATCCGTTGTCCTGTTGCCAATCACGGCACAGCTTCACCAGCTGCTTTTCTTTCCCCATGCCAGCAGGGCTGTGTCTCATGCAGTTCACCCAGAGGGCTCACCCCACATCCCGTGTGGCTTGAGCCCTCTGGGAGAGAGGGGATGTCCCTGGCATGTGCCTCTGCTCCCCAGCCCAAAACTGGCAGCAGCTTCCAAACTGGCCACTGGGATGTGCCCAGCACTGTGCCACCCATATCCCCGTCTCCTGCAAAGGGGTGTTCCTGACTGCAGAGGCAGCATCACACGCAAGAACCAAGTGCATGGCTTGGCTCCTCCACCAGCGATGTGGTGACAGTGACCCTGGCAGGTCCTATCCACAGCAGTGCAGAGGCCCCAGCAAGTTCCAAGAGACTGGATGGGCTCCAGGGGGGACAGCAGTGTCCCCTTGGAGCAGAGCCCATCCAGCCACACCATGGCCCAACAGCAGTGCCCAAGGCAGTCTCGCCTCTTCCTGATTTGCCTTCATCCCGCTGGCATCCCATCCCTTGTTTTGCCTTCCCCTCCTCTCCCTTCTCACTGGCTCCATGACTTCATGTCTTGGCCACAGATGCCATCAGCTCCTCCAGCACTCAGCTGGACAAGGGCTCTGCCCTGTGGGGAGGACAGACCGAGCAGCATGACAGACCCCAAACAGCAAACACAGCAGAGGCCACCAAGAGGTCACACAGGCTTGTAAAGGGCAAAATCCCACCACAGCTTATTTCGCCTGGTCTCCTCCATGTGATGGATGAGCTCCTGGCAGGCACCGAGCCCCAGCAGGGCCCGCAAAGGGCAGGCAGTGCCCTCCCTCCAACCTCTCCCCCACTGCAGTCACAAGGTTCCAGCCAGCAAAAGGCAAGTTTTGTTCCGTCTGCACACGCTGGGGTTAAGCTGTTAAATCATAAAGCATGGGGAAGTGGATTTATGGAGCAGGAAGGGACACAGGGGATGCTGAAACACTTCTCATTCCCAGCCAGGAATGTGGGGCTGTGAGAAGAGCTGGCTGTGTCGGGGGGAGACACAATCCCACGAGATGTTATGGTGAGGGGCTGGCAGGGAGCTGGGAAGTGTGGGCTGTGGGAAGAGCTTTCCCACCACACCATCCCCTTCTATGGACACCCCTGTTCTATGGACACCCCTGTTCTATGGACACCCAGTCTCCTTGCCTGGCCCACTCTCTGCCCCAGAAAGCCCCTTTTAGACCTTTTCTATCCCAAGCACTGGGGTTTCTAAGGGGTTTTTGACAGCACCAGCCCTCCCCACTGACCTGTTTATGGGAGAAGCCACCCCCCCCTCGGCCCCACTGCCACCATCTCCCCAGGGCTCACAATCCAGCTGCAGGCTCTTGGCACAGAGACGCATGAACCTGCATCTCCCAGGCTCTGGGTCAGACCAGGGTGATCTCCTGCCTGCCTTTGTGCCCCCAAAGGAGCAGGCGAGAGGGAGCCAAGTGGAAATTCAGCTTTTGTAGTGATTATTCCCCACTCCGCCTCTTTTCTGGGTGAGATCATGGCTGGAGGAGCTGCCCGATGGGACTTGGCCCATGACCGCAGCCTGATGCCAAGGAGCATGTCAGCAGGCGGGATGCCAGCTCCCCACCCAGCCCTCCCCGGGGCCGGGCGGCCACAGGTCACCTCAGCTCACAAACCCAGTGGAAAACCGGGTTTGCTCAATTCCTTTTTGGTTTGGTTTTTTTTTTTGCTGTTATTTCAGTTTGATTTTCAAGGTCAACTGCCCCAGAAAAGTGACTGCTGCAAACAAGAGCCCCATGAGCTGGTGACATGGGACCATCACTGCCCGCGGCATCTGCAGGCTCCAGCCCTGCCAGGAGCAGGTGGTGAGTTTGGGACAGTCCCCAGGGGAAGGACAACAAGGTCTCCAGCACCAAGTAACCTGTTTCTGTATCACCAAGGGCTTCCAGCTCAGCTGCCTGCAGAACAAGTTGGGGCTCCCCTGGTCCCATGCCATGGTTGTATGGGGGAGGGTGATGGGGGACAGTGAGGGAGGGGGAAGAGGTGATGAGCTGCTCCTAATGTGAGGGGAAAGAAGGAGATGGAGGAGAGGCAGAACAAGACAGCAGCAGGAGGGCACCACAGTGGATACGAGACCCTTACAGCTGTTGTTGATGTTCAGAGCATCCCAGCACAGGCCCTCGCTGTGGTCCCCTTCTGCTCACTCGCTGAGCCACCTCAGTGTTGGTGAATACACACACCCCACACATGCACACACCTGGGAGGGTACAGCTACTCAGCCTCCCAGCATCCAGCACCATTGTAACCCATGGTCCCACTCCAGCCGCAGAGTCCCTCGGTGCTCCCCACGACTGGAAGTGAAAGACACCCCGCACCCCCTCACTCGCTCCTATCGCACATCCAGGATCATCCCCTCCTTTCCAAGGCCGTGCTGTCCTTCCTGGAAGTGATGTCTCCAATCCCCCACTGGGCACTCAGCCCAAGTGGCTGCTGGGGGCTCCGTCTTGTCACCCTCTTCATATCCCTTTTGTCAGGGCTGTGATCCAGGCTGTTTCTGTTGGCCTCCTTTTCCCCATCAGCTCAGCTCAGGAAGCTCTCCATCAGCTAACCATGCTGGGATGAACATGTTCCCACTCCCACGTGTCCCTGCTAATTAGCACAGCTGACCGGGTTCCCTTCATTGGTGTTAATTGGCCAGGCTTGTCTTTGTGCCTTTCCCTTCCCTGTTTTCTCAATGCCCTGGGGTGATTTTAGTGCAACAGAGAGGAGAAATGAAATGAAATGAAACTGAGCATGTATCCTCATGCTGCTCACATCCTCACACTGACACCAGCAGCTGGGGACACGGGGACACCATGGGGCTCCGGGCACTGGAGAGGCTGAAGCCACACCAATAGCCACAGCTCTGAAAAGCCTCTTTGCTCCCCACCTGCAGTGGCTGTCATCCAGCCAGGGACCCGCTGGGTTGACCGTCCCTCTTCCTGCACCCATAGCCCCCATCACCCAGCTCCGGGTGCCCTGGGACAATGTCACCCCAGCTAGGTGACATTCCAGCCCTGCGGGTGGCACCTGGAAGCACTCAGCCCTGCTCCCCATTGATGTGGTTGATCCCTCCAGAGCTGCCCTAATGCACTCCAGGTGCTCCAGCATGGAAGGGATGGTGGCCCCAGGGCTGGGAGCAGAGGGCACAGTGTGACAGGGGCCCCACAGCACCAGGTCACTGCTCTGTTCCCACCCTGGTTCCCCCCATGCCCTCCCCTGTGGTCTGCGACTGCCCGCTCCAAAGGAGGATGCTCTGGGGGTTGGAACGTGCTCCCATGTGTGTGCATGTGATGTGTGGGACCTGGGCTGTCCTTACGGGCACAGGGAGGAGGGTTGGCTCTGTGGAGCCTCCTTCATGTTGCAAAGAGGAGGGGGCAGCCCAGCCTCTTCCCAGCCTGGCTCTGTGTGTGTGTGTGTGTCTGTCAGGCCCTCTCTGCCCTCGCCTCCTCCACCTCCCCCTCCCATCTGGGCAGCAGCAGCTTAAGTTTTCCTCTGGATGCGACACCATGAACTGTGGGGTGTTTCTCCCTGGCCTGTGTCAGGTACTACCCTATGGGGGGGAGGGCTTATATTGGCCAGGGGACCCTGCACACAGCACCTGAACCCCCCTCCCCACCATGAAAACCCCAGGGTTGGAGAAGGGAGAGTGGATCCCTGGTGGTGATGGGAAAGGGTCACCATATCCCCCCCGAGCTGGGGAAGGGTGACCAGGCCCCTGCCAGTGATGGGGAAGGGCAACTGGATCCCCTTGGGGCTGGGAAAGGGGCTGTAGCTGTGGACACCATGGTGTCCTCAGTCATGACTCACAACCATGTCACCCTCCATCCTCGGGGACCTGGGAATGAGGGTGCCCCAAGTGCATCCCCACTGCCAGAGCCAGGCTGAGGCTGAACCACTGCCTCGAGCAGCCTCGGCACTGCAGCAGCACTGGGATGGACAGGCCCCATCTGTGCCCCCCTCTTCCCATCAGAATAAAGAGAACGCATTCAGAAGAAACCATTTTATTATTTTTTTTTTCCCAAAGAAAAAAAAAGCCATATAAATATTAGAGTATAAAACTTGCGTGTAACACATCGACGTTGGTCTATACGGGTATAAGAAGGATATAAGCATATATATAATATATAAGTATAATTCAATATTAGACACATTGAAAGGGCAAACGTGTTCATTTCACGTACACTCGGAGCACAGAGCACATGGAAAGAAGATACAGAGAATTGAAAATACTGGTGGCCACGAGTTAGTTACCAAGATTAAAAAGAGCACAGCACTAAATACACAACACTCACTACGCTACCTCGGGTTGCAGGTTAAAAAGAAATATAAAGACTACGATTCAGCTACAGCATTTCTAGAGGGGGGGCAGGTGGCAGCTGCAGGGGACAGGGTGGGAACTGCTCCCAGTGCAGCCAGTGCTGGAGGTGGCTGGATCCGGAAGGACAACAGCAGATGCTCCTGCTGCCCTGGGTTTGGGGAGGGGGCAGTGGTGGGGTGGCTGCAGCCTGGCTGAGAGGGCTGGATCTGGGTGAGTTATGAGTTAGTGGTTAAAATGGGAAAAAACAACACACCCCCCCTAGGAACCCCCTTCCTGGCCACCCCACAGCCCCTCTCCTTGCTCTGGCTACACAAAGCCCCACTTTGCCAACCTGGGGGGGGGCTCAGAGCTGCTTTGATATGGGAAGCTGGCCTGGTGCAAGGGTTATGGGTATATGGAGAAACTCTATTCCTCATCCTTTGATTCCCTACGGAGGGTGGAAAGCCCAAAGCCAGTGGAAACATCTCATCTGGGCTGGCTTGCCATGGTCCCTTGTAACATCCCCACCTTGTTGCCCTGGCTCGCCAGCTTTGCAGCATCACCCCATGCTCACCCCCAGCTCTTGACTCCCTTTCCCAGGTCCGGTCCCCAAACACCATCGAACAAACCATCACTTACTCAGTCACTAACTCTCAAAGCCATGCGCCAGCAGCTCCGCAGATCTCCCCCTTTGGCTGAGACCCCGAATAACCCCCAAATAAGAAGTGATGAATTTCCCCATCCCATTTCACCCATCCCACCCACCCCACCCCTCCCAAAGCAGCCCCAGCACAGAGGGGCTGTTCACACCACGCTGCATGGGCATGCGAGGACTTCTCTGGGTCCATGGAGCTAACTGCGCTAGCGCAGGCGTGAGGTGAAGGATGTGCATGCAGAAACGGTGTGCAGAAGCGTGAAGCATCGTCCCCTGGTCCCCTTGATGGGGACTTGGCCAGATGGCCACCTGGCCACAGGGGAGTGAGACTCTCTTAGCTTTAATTCCAGAAGAACATTGACTGTACATATAAATATTTACTGCAAAGAAGGGATGAGATGTGTCTGCTCTTCAGAGACCCCCTAGAACCGCTGGGGCAGCTGCCGCACACCTCGGCATGCTCCTCATTGAATTCCCTACATCTGACATCAAGAGGGGGGTTTTAATCTCATATTTCAGGCCATCAGTGGTTGCACTTTAAAACAAGAAAATAAATGTTTAGGATGCAGCTTTGCCGTATTCCTTTTGACTCATGCAATATAAACACTTTTTCCAGGTAACAGGGAAGCAGGAACTGAAGCACTCCCTACCAACTTCTCAGCAACAAATCCATCGCTATCATTAACCGGGTGTGAATTTTACTAATGGAAAGTTTAAGAGCAAAGATCTGGAGCATGGGCTCTAAGCTAGGAACTTCCTTTCCAAAGAAAAAATGATTGAAGGTCTATAAATTAAAAGATCCCTGCTAGAATTATTTACACTAGGCAAAGCCAAGCACAAGCCTTGTGCCTTTCTAGGACTATCTGGGAGCAAATCGGATCCGAAGATGTGGCAGAAGACCTTCTGCCCTTGCATATTCTAACACCCAAGGGATCGTATAAAACATTAGCAAGTATTCACAGGGCACTTGTTTGCGTTCGGTTTAGCTTCCGGATTGGTTTTCATCATGAGATCTAACAGCAGCGAGACCCTGCTCCTAGCTCTGATGATGATGAGGAGATACATTCGCAGTGTTTCCTACTTTTAGCATCACAACCAATTCACATTCGTCCTCTGGCCTGAGCTGTGGGTTGAGGGAGTGCTGGAGCCGGCTGCCCTGTGGCTCTAAGGTCTCCTTCTTCTTCTCTACTTCTTCTCCTTCTTCCCGGACTTCTTCTTGTTGCCTCCTGAAGCACCGGCGTTCTTGGCATCGCGCTTGCCGGCAGCGTTGGTGAGGGTGGCGGTGCTGCCCGGGATGTAGACGTTCTGCCGGTAATCGGGGACGTGCTGCAGGGTGAACTGGGGGCCATAGCGGGCGCTCAGCCCCATGGTGCCCGTTCCACCACCCAGCGTTGAGTTGCCATCAGCAGCTTCTGTGGGGGACACCAGAGGGTGGGGGGAAAGAGAAGGGCAGGTTGTTACTGTTGGACAAGCATCAGCACCCCCGAAAGGCTCTCGGTGGGTGTCAAACCCAGACCTCGGTGCCACCAAACCTCACCCCAACCCTTCATTACCCTTCAGTGCTATTGCTCCATGGGATGGCTGCAATGTGCGTGGTGGAGAGCACGGCACAGCCAGCACCAAAATTCCTTGTTTTCATCTCACATGGTTGCTCAAGTCTTGGGATTTGGGGCCTCCAGCCAACCTCTCCTCTGCCCTTGGCAGTGATGGGGCTGCCTGTCCCTCCCTGCCTGCCTGCTGCTGCCTTCTTAGCCCCCCTCCACATAAAAACACCCCCCCCCCAACGAAAGCATCCTCATTACAAACATATTGTACAGCCACAACCATTAGCAACACATTAAGGGAAATCCAATACTATTTTGTTTTTCCATTGCATTTAAAACCCTGCCCCCAGTATTTCTCCAGCCAAGTTTATTCAGGGAGCAGAGCACAGGAGATGAGAAAGAAAACCCCTCCCCTGCAGTACTGCAAAATGGCTCTAGGAAGCCGAGCACAAAGGAAATCAATGCTGAAGCGCGTCTGATGGTCCAGATCTGGGAGCAGGGGGAGGGGAAGGCAAATTCATTCCTGTTGCTCTGCAAAGCCCCAGCATGGAGAGAGCAAGCGTAGGGATGGGGAAGGGCTCAGATACCCCCTGGGTTGCTGGGGCATGGCTGTAAGGTAGCAACCAGATGGAGACAGGGGGGATGCATGGAAGCAGGGGGAGCGATGAACATGGGGGGATGGCAAGGCACAAGCGATGCTTGTTGCCATGGGCTGCGGCATGATGTGCTTCAGTGCAACTGCCTGTGCATGGCTCAGGGTGGGATCCTTGCCCAGCCATGCTCAGAAATGATTTGCTAAACTCAGTTCTCTGCCCTGGATACTGTGATCCTATCTCAGCCTTTTAACTGCTTCATGGCTGCGGACACACTCTCCTGGGAAGCTGGAGAGACCCAGCAGGAGCACATGAAGCACCCAAGGCAGAGTCCAGGGCTTCTGCTCACTCCTGTCGAAGGTGGAGAGACCACAGGAATAAAAAGCAACAAGCAGAGATCATGAGCCAGTCCTCACGTGTTTCTCCTCTCTCCAGATGAGATCCATGCATGCTTCTTTGTTGCCTTTGCTTTCCCCTAAGCAGATGGAGGTGGCCAAGCCAGCCAGAAAGCTAAACAAAAAGCTGGGCCACATCCCCCCATCCCCTGCAATACTGCCATGTACACATCCCCTCACAGGGGTCAGAAGTATGAAGCAACTGCAGCTTGAAAAGTTACAGCTGTTCTGCTGGAGCCAGAGGAGGAGGAAAACACACAGCGAGTCCAAAACCAGGCGGGACACTGTGCCCGAGGCCAGGGGATGCACAGGGCAGTGTATAAACACAGGGAACCAGCGTGGGGAAATGCCTTTTGCTTCCCACTGTGGAAGCAGCCACCAGAAGAAGAATTTTTCTGTCCCCATTAAGTGGGTGCCAGACCTGGCAGGGCTTTGAGGACCACGGGCTGCAGGAGATGTGCATATACAGTTGGTGATATTTTTCATCCACACTCGTCTTATTTCATTAATAACCAGCACAACCCCACACTCATCAGGGTGTTAAACTGGGAATGGGATGGCTGGAGATGTGGGGTCACACCAGGCTGCAGCCAGACTGACTTGCAGGTGGACTATGGCCTCTGGCAGCAGGGGAGATAATGTTTTCAAGGCTCTTGTAGCTGTAAAGAGCCCAGCCGGGGGCTTGGTGGGCTTTGAAACCTTCTCTGCTGCCCTGGGCTATCCCAGATGCACCAGGGCTCTGAGCAGTGATGGGGCTGGGGGGGGGCTGCCAGCACCACCCAGGACAAGTGGTCCCCATGAACTAGTTTGCAGACACAGCAGTTTTTCACAGGGGAGGAAAAGCCACCCATGAAGTTCCCAGCCTGCCAGTTGGTCCCAGGGAAGAGCAAAGGGCTGTTTCTAGGTAACATTGACATTAAGGCTGAAAAGAAGAGAGAACAGGGACAACAGAGGTTTATAAATGGGCACTGAGCTGCTCTTGCCAAGCAGGACCCTTCAGTTCTTGTTACGGGAAAGGTTACACTCAGCCTTTACCAGCAGCCAGCCATTATCCCAAACGGTCCTAAGAAGGAAAGCAAGGATTTGGTCTTCACAAAAATAACCAGCTAGCAGCTCCATCGGCCTCATGGGCAGAGGGGAGGAGAGGCTGGAGACAGCCCCAGAGCACGTGTTGCTGCAGCTGCTGGGGGGCTTTCAGGAGAACCCAATATAGAGTGTCTGCCCCTGCCTGCAGGCGGTGGGGCTGGGGAGAAGGACCTCCTCCAGCTGCCTTTCTGTCTGCTCTCCCATCATCTTATGGCACCCCTATAAATTCTCCCTGGAAGCTGAAGTATTTTAAGGACAGGACGTCTGTCCTTTCGTGTCTGGTGTCCTGGAGCATCTGTGCTCCTTGGTCTGCCTTTGCAGCTGCCTCTGCCCCTTCAGATGGCTCAAAACAGATTTTTATGTCGTTCCCAGCTGCAAGGGAAGGAGATCACAGAATCATAGAATCTCAGCCTGGTTTGTGTTGGGACCTTAAAGCTCATCCAGCTCCAACCCCTGCCACAGGCAGGGACACCTTCCACTAGAGCTGCTTGCTCCAAGCCCCTGTGTCCAACCTGGCCTTGAACACTGCCAGGGATGGGGCAGCCACAGCTTCTCTGGGCACCCTGTGCCAGCACCTCAGCACCCTCACAGGGAAGAGCTTCTGCCTAAGAGCTCATCTCAGTCTCCCCTCTGGCAGGTTAAAGCCATTCCCCTTGGCCTGTCCCTACAGGCCCTTGTCCAAAGCCCCTCTCCAGGTTTCCTGTAGCCCTTTAAGCACTGGAGCTGCTCTAAGGTCTCCCCTTCAGGAGCCTTCTCTTCTCCAGGCTGACCCAGCCCAGCTCTCTCAGCCTGGCTCCAGAGCAGAGCTGCTCCCACCCTCAGAGCAGTGAAAATCTCTTAAGATCCAGAGGAAGGAAGCCCAGGAAGAGAAGTCCTACAGCAGAGTCACAGCCCTGGTGGAAAACCAGCTCCCCAGGCATTCCAGCCTGGGAGTGTGGTTTAACCATTGGGCAAACAATTTAATCCCCAGAGCCACTGGATCACACAGTCTTGGCATGGCAGGGCCAGCTTGGCATCTTGCTGAAGCAAAGGATAACACCCAGCACAGGGTAAGGATGCATTCATGGCATCCACAGCCACTTCTAGGGAGCATCCTTAGCTCGTGAAGCAGAGCAGCATCAGAGGAGTTCCTGCCTCCCAGATGGTCTCGTAAGTGCAACTTGAGAGTGGGCTTGACATGGTGTGGATGGAAATTGAGAGCACACAGTGTCATCACCTCTGTCACTGTGTCCCACCTGCTACCACAGAGCTCAGCAGGTGAAAGTAAGAGATAAGGATCATTTTAAAAGCCAGGAAACATCACCCAAGGATGGGCAGTACAGATCTTAATGGGAATTAACACTGCCCCTAATCAAAGATTGCTGCAATCAACACTGAGCTAAGAGTGAGAGCAGAAGAGGGGGACAGAGATCAGGGGAGACATCACAGCACAGTGCTGGTGGAAAAAGCTTGTGCTGTGTCTGCAGGTGGATCCATCCCTCCACCCACCCATCCATCCACCCATCCCTCCCTCCTTCTGTCCCTCCAGCACAGCAAGGGACCGGCATGGGGAAGGAAAGGATGGAGAGCACAGGGCCATCCTCTCGTGGGGCTGCAGCAGGGGAAGCCCTAATCTGGCAGATGGATCTGCTTTAAATTAATCCCCAGGGTGAACTGAAGCCGTGGGAGAGGTTAGGACTGTGGAGACTTGTGGACTGGGGGAGATAGGCTGCAATGGGGCTCAGGGCTACATGGAAGTCAGGGCTTAACCTTGGACCCACTCAGCTCTCTGGTGCTCTGCCTGGAGCAGCAGTCAGAAAAACAGCTTTATTTGTGAGCAAGGAAACCGGATCTGGCAGCGCTGGGTGATGATAACCACATGCAACCCCAGAGGATATTTTTCCATGGTCGTTTTTCAGAGCAGAGACACGTTTTCGCATTGCTCCTTTCCCTTGAGTGTAAACAAGTCCCTTGCCCAAGACCTTCATCCCCTCCCCTGGCCACAGCAGCTGTGTCTCCAGGCTGCCTGGTGTCTGCACAACAGCAAAGTTCATCTGCAGCAGCTTTCCAAGAAAGCAACACCAAAGCCATCCCCCTCCCCCAGATTCTTTCTCTCCCAGCAGCTCAAAGGAAGCATCCCAAGCATTCTGCACAAGGTTTTATGGCTGTGCTGTTGCTTCTATTTTTAAATCAAGGGGGAAAGGACTGTGAGGTATTTATAAATAAAGGCTGCATGAAAAACAGCCTCTTCATCCGTAGTACTGTGCAGAGTGATAATTGCACTTCGTGACCGTGGGTGCATGGGAATACCCCTCCCTGCCCACCATTTCCATGTAGCACAGCTGTAAAGCAGAACAAACCAACCCAAAATGACCCCAAACCAAATCCCTGTGACTACAACTGCAGTGAACCACTGATGCAAACCAGTGTCTCTGGACACAAGGTTTGTTGGGGATACTGAGTCAGGCATTTACTGTATTCTTGTCTCTAGCCACAAACAAATCTTTCAGGCTTCCTACATCCTCGCCTTATAGCAAGTTGCAACACAGAAAAGGTTTCATTTACGGTGACCTTTTGGAACCAAGTAGTTTATAAAACATCAAGACTCTCTTTCATGTCACAACTGCATCACAAGCCAGATAACTATGTACATATATTTTGTATGGAAGAGGTAGCCTTTTCTACAGCATGCCTGATGCTGATGGTATCTCCTCTGTCTGAATCCTTCCTGACCCCTCCTCTCTGCAGGGTAACACAGTACTTTTCCACTGTTTTCTGTTGAAGGACTTCTGAAGCCACCCCAGTTAACAGACACATCATTCCCATCAGCATCTTATCTAACAGCATGCACTGAGACATCCACATGAGAGCATGTGCCATGGTTTTCCCACACGTGATGGAGACTGACCATTTGCTGAAGCCAGGATCATGGCTTGGAGCATCTCCGTGTCAAACTGGTTGTTCGGCCAGGCTCCACCTTCCTCTCCATTCTGGGAGCTATGGAAGAGAAAAGAAACAGCAAGTTACTGCAGCTCGGTCAGGAGGAGTGAGCTTAGCACATCAGAAACCAAGGCTGTAGGCTTGTCTGTTGCTGGAGAGAAGCTGCAGGCTTTAAATCCTTCTAGTAAATAACACTGTCCTATTAAAGGTCTCTATCACCCACCAGGCTTTTGAAGAAGAACCAGCAATACCAAAAGCACTTGGGGGCTCAGTGGTGCTTCCAGCAATACCTACCTAACTTCTGGTGCCTTCAGAGACAGCCAACACATCACCTCAAAATCCCACCACCACCTTCACACTGATAAAATGCAATATCACAAAAAAAAATGCTGGTCCTAAAGCCCCAGAGATGCATTCACCCTCTGGTCCTTTTCCAGGCCATGTGAGTGGATACACCCCTCAAGCTACTTCAGGTTACAACTCCATTCACAGGATGGAAGGTGAGAAAACCCTGTGTCCTTTGGGATCAGCATGGAGCCAGCTGCCTGGCACTGCAAAACTTGCTCTGAAGGGAGTCCAAGAGTAGGCATCAGCTCTGCAAAGCTGGCAGCGAACAGTTCTGGGGAGGATGGAGTAACAGGAAGAGGAGAGAAGGGAGGTTTGGTTCCCCAGGACTGGCTGATGGGAGGGCTGAGCACCACAGATGTGCCTGGGAAAGCTCTGGGGATGCTGTCAGACTTTAGCCAAGGAGGTTTTGTGGCTGAGGCTACAATCAGCAGCCTGTGCACAGTTGAACAAGCCCTGCTTTCATGTTTGCCAGGTGCCAGCTGTGCTCAGCCACCCCTCACTGGTGCTGGCATTTCCCCTCCAGAGGGGTCAGGGCTGCTCTCCCAGAGCCCCTCCGGAACCTCCCTGCTTTCAGCAGAGACCTGAACATCTCACCAGCTTCCTGTGCCCTCCTCTGCTCCGACCCTAAGTGACCACCTCCCTGAGACCACCTCTCCCCACTGTGCTCTGACACCCACAGCTCTTGCCACCTGCTGGGATACCAGGATCTGCCCCTTGGCTGTGCGCTGCCTCGCTTGGCACAAGAGCAGCCCTTTTCTTGCAGCTGGGAGCTCTCTAGAAGTGAGACAGGGGAGGTTGAAAGCCCTTTCCCTTGGAGAGAGCTGAGCCCATTTCCCAGGGCAAGCATTCAAATACCAGGCTACAAGGCACAAACATGGCCTCCTCCTCCACTGCTGTGGTCCCAGCCCTCACACCCAAGAGCTATCAGCCCCCAAAGCCCTGTTTGGACCCCAAAGGCCTGCTGAGACCCCGAAGCCCTACTGAGACATGCTCAAGCAGCCAAGATCTCCCTCAGCTCTGGGGTCTCCTGCTGGCAGCTTCATGCTTGAGCTGCCAGCACAGGCACTGCTGATGCCAGCTCAACACCGCGTGCTGGGTAGCAGATGGGCTCTTCACCCCCATGCCAAGTATCTCGCTAACCCTCACTGCGTGTGCCTGCAGCAGCCCTCATACATAACAGGCTCAACACGGCCCTTTTGGAAGTGGGATGGACCCATGGGCACGTCCTTGAAGGATGCATCTGCCACAGTGACCTTGTAGTCAGACTCCCTTTGAAACACGTGATCTGAGTGTAGATACATGTATGGATGCTCCCACGTACTCTGTACAAAATCTTGTCTCAAGCAACTTGTCCAGAGACACAGGACCTGTGCCAGGACCACCTGAGCATCCATCCCTTCCCCTTCTGTACTGCCTGCCTGATCCATCCCCAGGCAGGCAGCGCACTGCTCTCACACACTGGTTTACCCATGGAGGATGAATTCAATCACTAATGTAGCAGGGGCTGCCCTGGCATGACCCTACAACAGCACCACTTCTGAAATACCTGCTGTCTGCTGCAACCCAGGGCATCCCAAAAACTATTTATATCCCTCCTCCACAGCATGTGTGGTGGCACGGCTTCAGGAAGGCCAGAAGCAAGGTTTGCCTGCCTCACAAATGGATTTTGGTGTTTGCATGATGGCTGCGCTGAGACTGCTCAGACGTGGGCACTGCTGCTCTGCCTGCCTGTTGGGCCAGCCAGCAGCATGCAGGCAACCCAGGCAGTGAGGACAAGGGGACAGCCCTGGGGCTGCAGTGACCTGTTACTGTCAGAAGCAGGGCTCGGAATAGAGCCCCAGGCTAGATCCAATAAAGGACTTAGGAACCTTTTTGCACTAAACCCCATTGCAAACCACAACCCATTCAGCCACCAGTTAACCCCAGCAGCTTCTGCCCCACTGGGGCAGTTGAGGCTTCCAGGTTTTTCAGAGCTGCAGGAAAGCCATCCAGAAACACCCCAGTGCCTCCAAGCTGCTGCTCCTGGCTCAGGGAACTGCCCCAGCATGGTGATAGCATCCAGAGATGGGGAAAGGGAAATCACAAGTGCCAAATTTCTCCTTTTTAATTGAAATATTCCAGTGGTTTGAAAGCAGACCCAGGTTCAACTCGCTCCATGACACAGCAGTGCCAGCATCACATTTTCCACCTCCTGAAAGACTCTTTCCTCCCACCTCTCCTTCAGGCAACAAGCTGCACAAGACAGAAGCTCCTCCTGCCTCCTGTCAAAGCCATGTGCCCTAGGACAGCAGGAATGCACAGAAGGAAATGCTCACCCTGTGGTCAGGGCATTGACCTTGGAGGTAGCACCGGTACCCCCAAGCTCACTGAGCTCCCTAACCAGACAGCAATCGTGTCTTGACCTGCTGGCTACGATCTTACCAGTAACACCCAGTCAGTCTCCATCCAGGGAAGGGCGCACTGGTGACTCGTGTGCAGCCTGATGCAGCCCTTCTCTGCAAGCAAGCTGCACCCAGTGCTCCCAAATTTTGCACAAACAGCCCCAAAGCTGTGTGCTTGCTCCCTGTGATGCAGAAAAGCTATTTTAGAAATGCCTTAGAGTTGCAAAAAATGGTTGAGCTCAGTTGTCTAGGCAGGAAATTCAAGTGCCTCAGTTACTTGCAGTGCAATAATCCAGAATTGAGGCACATGAAAAAAATAAGTGCTGTAATCTAAAAACACCCAAAAATAACTTCTCGCTTTGGCAGAAGGCACACAGCTGATGACCAGGTCTGGCTGCCTCCCACAGCCATAGGATGGAGTTGTGAATCAGAGCTGTGAATCACTGATTCAATAGCGAGCAGCCTGCCCCGCCCTGCTCCCCTGCCTGGAATGGGCAGACCTCAGACCCCCCCTTGCAGCACTGCTGGGGCACTGCTTCGGGGAGGCTGCCTGGAAGGGGAGGGCTGGTTCCTATGGAAATGATTCCAAGGACTCCCTGTTTATAATACAAATGCCATTGACTCAATAGTAGGGTTTTTTTCCTAAAAACCCATCCCCCATAGGAGAGATTTTTTTTTCCCCTCTGTTCAATCCTACTCCACACTTCAAAGCTCAGAAAAGAGCTGGCTTTCATTTCTGGGAACGTTTCCAGCCCCGCTAGGACTGGAGGGAAGGGAGCAAACCCACGTTTGAGACAAACCAAGGGATGCAGCATCTTAAGGGGGTGTTCCAGGCATGGTGGGCACAGAGGACAGGACAGGGGCTGTGCCAGCACAGCAGGTACAGCCAGTGCACAACCTGCAAACCCCTTCACTAAACCTATGTGGAAATTAGGGAACACTGAAATGAAAGGCTTGCCCTGCAGCCCTGACACAGCCCCACAACAAGCTGCATCATGAGGTTGCCCCACTACCAAGGGCATCTGCCCCAGCAGCGCAGGGTGGACCTGGGTGCTTTGCTGACTAGCTATTTCACAGCACCCCAACCACCACATCCCTTTTTAACTCCCATTTCGAGCAGAGCCCAGAATTATTCATTTCCTGCCGGAGTTGCTATGGAGCTCGTCACTATGGCAGCCAAAGGCCTCACAAACAGGGATTTGCACAACTGCCTGGTGGAGTCATGAAAAAACTGTTTTCCTTGCTCTGCAGCTGGAATCAGGAGCTATAGCAGTGCCACAACAAACTGGACAAGTTAATTTGTGCCTGAGCAGTGCTCTCAGAGTCCCAGGGGCTGGAAAGGACAGCCCAGCACCCCATGAACCCGACCCCAGCACCCTGGGGTGCCTGGCAGGGCTTCAGGCAGCGCTTGCCTTCAGGAGTTTCCCAGGACAGCCTCAGCATCCTCCCTCCTCTCTCATTTGCGGCTTTCTGGCTCCTGCAGCAGTGACCCCCCGCTCCCACCATTCAGCACCTCTCCCACCGCATAGCCCGGGTGCTCTCCCAAGCTTCCCCACTCCAGGGAGGGGATGTGACTGGGGTTTGTTTCTCCTCCCAGACTCTTCCTTTTTCATTCCCCTTTGCTCCCCCTGAGCAGCACCGACCAGGGGTATCCTCAAACCCATTCCTCCAGCCCAGTTCCGAGGCAGCCTCTGGTCCCCTGAGGCTTCCCCCTCTGCACTTTTGTTTTTTCTCTCCCAGCTTCCTCCAAGCCCTCCCCATCCCCCTTCCATCTCCCACACACAGCTCCAGCCAGAGGCAGCAGCAATAAAATCTCAGCCTGCGTGTTTCCAGGCTGGCAAAGTGACAAGAAAGAGGGAATGGATCTGTCCTCGCCGGTGCTGCGCCTCCTCCGAACTTAAGGTGTGCTGGGGACACAGTCCTGCGGCTGGGGATGCAGACCCAGGATGAGCATCCTTCTGTCCTACTGCCCACACCAGCCTCCCCCAGCCACAACCCACAGCCCACCACCCTCCCGCCTCCCCCAGCTTCTGAAAACAATGGAATCAGCTCCAAAATTGCCACAATTTCCTGCTCTTTTCCTTTCCTCAGCAGAGGATGCTGCCAGCCCTTCCCCCATCACATTCCCTGCCGCTTCTGTAATGCCATTACAAGGGCCTGGATGAGGCCCAGCTTTAAGATCATGACTTTGCAAAGATGAGATTGAAAATGCTATAGCAGGCAAGTGGAGGAATGATTTGCAGCCTCCCAAAGCACCGGTGAGCCTTTACTTCCAGCCAGCTGAGCTGCTGGGATGCTGCACTGCCAGGCAGAGGTAGAACAAAAGGC